ACGTTGTTTTTCTCCATTTAAACATATGAAAATGTATCGATTCTTAGAGGGGCCCGGTGCTCCGACAAGAATCGATTTTTTAGCATAGGTTTAAATGGAAAAAATGCGGTGTTGCCAAATTGCTGGATCCGCCTCTGATCGGAAAGCGAATCTAAGCATTGACATCCGAAAGTCTATGCGGGATCTTTAAAATAGTACGTCTCTTAGCGCTTATTCATGCGATCTTTTTAAAAACAGATTGATAAGAAAACCAATTTTATAATGGAGATTAAGATACTCCACTGAGAATACACATTTATTTTAAATCTAACGAGAAAGAAATGCGATTTTGAATGGCTTGAAATAAAAGCTCAAGATTAAGCGACGTCTCTTCATAAAACGCTTCCTCTTATCAAACGGACGCATTTCTGCCAAACGAAACTATGTGCAGTAAGACATGAGCCCTGAGACCCATGAGAATGCATGCATAACAGGGCTCACATCATTATGCACATAGTTCCGTTCGGCAGAAATTCGTCCAAATGTAGTGTTACCTCAATGCTTCAAAGTTTTAAAGTGGCTTCATGTAGAAAGCCGGAGGTGAAAAAAAGGTCGATTTTTACTGCAGATGAGATACAAAATTGCCACAAGTGAACATGCGATCCGAGGTTTTATAATGTGCTGCGTCGGTTGTCGCGGGGTATTAAAACAAGTTATGGATTTCGTAGGGGGTGGTTCTCAGGAGACGTGTTACGCCCTTGCAAACCCCGGTATAAATGCGTTACATACGCAATTATTTATTCACGTTTGCATTCGCGTCTCCTCCCGACCGCCAACAGACTCATTTTCAGGATTGCAAGATTGACGGGGAAGCTGCACACTGGGGAAAAAAACACATTGGATCTAGAGTCCAGACTCTTGAAAACATTGACAAGAAAAAGTACTCTTGATTCAATCAGATTTAAGCTTAAATCGAAAGGAAATCCGCTCAAATTAAGAGGCTTGGTTCTTGATTTAAGCAAAAATCCGATTGAATCCAGAGTATTTTTTTTTGTCGATGTTTTTAAGAGTCTGGACTCTAGATCCAATGTGTCTTTTTTTCCAGTGCATTATCTGCCGTGCTAAATAAGGAAGAACGCCGTATTAACTTTTGGGAGTTGTCAAATTTCCCCGAATAAAACATGTACTTTTGAACAAACACAAGTTGATTTTTCCTTGAAATTGTCAGATGATTTTGATTCAATCGGGAACAAAACTCTCTAAAAAATTGGAGGAGGCATGTTCAAACCTTTTCCAGTAAATTTTGTTTGTTATTGAAGGAAAAATGGCAACGCCTGAATGCTCATACGGTGTTCTTCCTCGGCACGGCAGTGTGGATGTGATTATTGGTTTTGCAGTCGGGGAAATCACCGGAAGTCTGACAACCACGGTTTTATTGTCATGCTCCGAGATTATTTTTATTATAATTCCGTGCCACGGAACAACGTCGTATGGAAATTCGAACGTTGTCAAAATTCCTTCATTGACAACGAGCTCTCTAAGAAACTTGTGGATATGTTTGGATCAATTTTTCAGATATTTTCGACCACAATAAAAGATTCATGCAATTGTTTATTGCTTAGTATAAAAGTGTTTAAAGAGCTGATTTTGCAGTATTTTTTATAATTTTTCTCTCATATGGGAAATTGTAGCGAAATAGAGAAATTGAGAAAAAGAGAAAATGCTTCGCTTAGTGACATCATCTGGCGGTATTTTCCATTTAAACGCATATATATCAGCAGATTGGATTATTTGGTCATATGTCATCCAAAATTGTTCAACTTATGAACATAGGGTATCCTCGTGTTCAATTCACTCGCAGTAGTTTCCACTTGAATACGAAACTCATACAATTTTAGAGGTCTGGAAATTCTCAATTTAATCTGTGGCTGAAAATTTCAAGGAAAAATACCCATTGCTTTACTAAAAAAAAAACTTCACCTAAGGAGACTTGACAACATGCGATTTTTCATTCGGCGTTCTTCCATGCCACGCTGCGTATTCCTTGTGACAGCGTATCATGAGGTAATTTTCGAGACTGAATTGAACACGGTAGCCATGAATATTGATATTCAAGTTCAGTTGAATTTAGACAATGGACTCAAGATTGTGTTTGAATATCTGATCCCATACCTTACAGCAATGGAATTTAAATGTGTACGCTTCGCGCAAGGAAAGAGTATTTTTGTAATACAGAAAAACACTTTTAAAATCGATATATATTTTATAAATAATTTATTGTCTTAAGAAACCAATTTTATTTAATACAGCGGTATGTTATGGTTGTCAAATATTTTGCTTCAGATATTAATCAGCACTGAAGTTCCGAATACAATAAAAATATTAAGAACTAAAAAAGAAAAGGCGATAAAAAGTACAACTATTCAGACCAGTGATGTGGCGTGTTTTATATTAATGTGAGTTAAGAACTTCATTTTAACCCATAGCACTGGCTACCTGACAAAACAAAAAGTTACATTAAATGCTACTACTACAATGTTTTACATCAATTACACTTTCAAAAGTATTTCATCTCTATTATTGACATAATGAATATGACTTATCCATCTCTTATATTATACACTGGGTGATGATTTAGAGGGTAAAATTATGACGTATACTAAAAATCAGAAAGTTATTATTTTTGGTTACATTTATCATGAGATTCGATGAAAATTTTATGAAAATCAATATTTTTATTTTATTGAATATCAGTGTAGTATAATTAACTATAATATTTAATTAAAATAATGAGAAGATAATTCCCCCTAAAATTGCATTTTACCGGGTGAATATTGAACATTGTTAACTGACAATTTCACAGATTTTTCCTTCAGATCCTCAGCAAAAATTGAAAAATTTTGAACAAAGATTGCGCGGGTACATTCTTGTAAAAAATTGAATTTTTTTAGTCAATTTTTCACAATTGGGATGATGAGATTACGCTCCTTCGTTCGGAAAACGACGACATACATCTCTATTACAAGAAAAACTCAATTGCCGCAAGGCTTCCTTTATTTCCTTTTGAGTTCCTAATGGTATACAAGAGTCGAGCCAAGGAAACAAAGGATAGGTATACTTTAGATTATTATCGAAAAAAGTATTTTTTCAGGAAAAAATCGACAAAATTTCGCACGGGGGTGGGGCTTTTTACTTCGAACGAATATAAAGCATGCCACATCCTCACTCTCACGAGATTCTAAAAAAAAATACGAACCTGCGTTGTTTATTTGTTTTGTAAGTGCGCATGCTCTTCTCGCATACTGTCTAGCACACGCAATACGGGAGCGATGAAGAATAATACAAATCGGATGCATGGGAACCGAATTGAATGAGAGTCAATACAACGGCGCGCAGGGAGTATGAGTGATCGGTGAACTTTTCAGATCGATCACCGATTCGCTTTGCTCCGCACTGGTACAGACTACGGATCCTACCGGTGTCATTCAGTTATTTCAATTGAGACCTCGATTCAAGTGCGTCAAGACGCCAAGACCCGTGAGAGTGCTACCGCGCTGAGTAAAAACGACGTATGAACATTCGAGAGTTGCCAAATTTCCTCCAATAAAATGTTAAATTTTGAGGCGAATTATAATTATTTTCTCTTGAAATTTTGAGATAATTTAGATGTGATTGTGACTAATATTCTCTGAAAAATCGAAGGAAAAATATTCACGGATTTCCCTGAAAATTCGTATTTTATCGAAGAAAACTTGGCAACGTCTAAAGGTATATACGACTTTCTTCCTTAGCATGACCGAGTGGTGTAACACGCGTGAAACTCATTCGATCAGTATAGATCTGTCATCGCACGTTTAATTGATCAATTCGATTGTTCGATTGAGACTATACGGAGTACGGAGCCAGTACGAAGGGGAAGGCCGTACAAAGATTTGATTCTTCAAAATTCAAGAATAATAATGTGAATGATGCGTCAATGTGGTATAATACTTCAAAAAAAAAAAAAAAAAAAAAAAACTGGTAAAAAGTTGGTTTTTCGAATCCTCTTTGAGAATGTTTTTGGTGAACATTAAGAGAGGTAAACTAAAATAAACAATTTCAAGAGTGATTTTCATCACCGAAATTGTGTGAAAATAATGTTGAAAAAGTAGTAATTTGGTAATTTTAAAGACTTTTCACGTCGATCTATAAGAGAGTTACATTTCTGTATTAAAAAGTTCACATAAGAAAATCTTTTAATTGGTATTTTTTTTTTTTTTTGTATTTTAACGAGATTGAAGGGAGGTAAAAGTTAAATAAAAATGTCTTAAAATAGTGTAAAAAACGAGTAACATTTCAACTGTATATTTTCAACACTGAAAATTGTTTGAAAAAATGTTGAAAAACCCTTGACAGAGCATTAAATTCTTCAATGTACTTGTTACGTGAATTTCACAGCGCGTCAAAGTTTACTTTAAGAACATACCTAGCCAAAAACGCAACGTGCATTCCGTCGGTTTTCTCAAGAGTTTTGAAAATTCTTTCCAGAGATCATTACTAATAGAGCACCGCACTGGTTACTAAAAATTATAGAAAGAGATGTAAAACATCGAGAACAGACAGAATTGCTAACATCTATATTTCGATAAAATACACCGCGATCGTTTTTTGAAAGAGATTGGAGCTAGAGTCCCTTTATACTGAGAGTCAAGACAATGCGAATCCATTTCTGATTGGTTAACCGGATTTTAGGCCTTCACAGTGTCACAAACGGGAATGAAGATTACAGTTTCACCGATTGCAAAGATTATAATCTGGAATGGACCGAGGAATTTCGGGTTCGACAAGGAACAAACGGAATGAGAGAAGGAACGGAGAAAGGCATTTAAGAATGAGCCGATCAAAGATTACGAAAAACGTTCAATTTGTGTAATCTTTATTCCCGTTTGTGACTCCATGAGGGGTGTTGTCTTGACTCTCAGTATAAAGGGACTCTAGTTGGAGCTAGGCTACAGACAGAGAGTTGAGTTGATTGCGCTTACCGGAATAGTTTTGCCAGAAGGCTGCCCCGGAGCTGACCAAATCCATGCCTGAGTAATTCCAGGGCTTCTCCCTCTCCCGCTCTCGCTCTCGCTTAATGTCGGGGGTCTGCTCGCCACCGGGCTTGGTCCCCGCCAGGGGGGCGTACGAGTTGGGCGTCCCGGCTCTTTCTCTTTCGCTCGAGGGCTCCGACTTGGCTACTCGCTCGGTGGCAGCTTCTGCACAAAAACAAACGTCAAGCACATTAGGGAACGTCCAGGAAACGTCAGGCACAAAGATTGGACGTCAGGCACGTCAATTGGACGTTTTCGGAAAGACCCATCTTGGGAAAAACATGAAAAATCCATTTTCTCCTGCTGGTTTTATGGTTTCATTTCTAGCACCTTCAGCCAACTTCAGACTTTGTTTATTGTCCGTAGACATCGACGGATTTAGGCACACCCATGCTCCAGGCTTTTCGACTTTTCAGGGATAAGGGCCGAGTGGAATATGTTTCAACAGATCCACTCATCAATTCAGACGTCAAATTAGACGTCACCACCGGGATTCGAACCCGGGAGCTATTAATTGACCTAGAGTCAGACGCGCTGACCAGTAGGCCAACCTGCCCGGCAAACATCCATTTCACTGTGGGAAACGTATTGCTATGGTACGTCAGGGTTGCTACCGAATCTAGGGAATGATATGCCCTGACATTTCTCAGTTTTCTCTGACAAATTTTGACAATTCTCTGACAATTGAAGATATGTCAAAAAGTTAAAATGACATAATAAGAAATAATTTTCAGGCATTTAGTGTTGGAAAACGTCAAACCGATTTTAGAAAACAAATAAAGGCGACCCAGCAATTTTTCCCTGACATTTTCGTCATTTTTGGTGACATTTCCCGATTTTTCCTGACTTTTCAATATTCCCTGACTGTGACAACCCTGTTACGTGCATCATTACTGTGCTCTCTGACTCCCTGAATTTTCATTGTTCGCCTCAATTCTCCATGAAAATCTACCCGGCCGATATTACTGAATTTCATGATTATGGACAAGAGACAGTTCCTAGACGAGCCTCTTTCATTCAGCTTCTGCGCACAGTGGGCCTTTGAAGTAGCGAAACGCTCACGTCATCAATATGCGCCCGGTTCCTTCTAGCATAAAAGCGTCCAATAGACATTCTAATTCAGCATTATTTGCGTTATTGGCGTTGAAACCTCATTACATGTATTTTATAAGCTAACTGCTTGGAATCATTTTAATAGATATAATAATTAGATAGTGCGAGGAAAGATGAGTGAGGATCCAAATGTTAACTCACCGGTTAAAATGCGGAGGGCTTCAGGTGGAGCTCCAGCAGTTTTGAGAGCTTCCAGCAACTGGTTCCGTCTTTTGAATTCGGTTTCCAACTGAGTCTGGAGCCTCTTTCTTTCTTTCCTCTCTCTTCGCCACCGCTTTTGGAACGTATCTGAAACAAACCAACCGACAAATTAAATGTAATAGAATTAAAATCTATAAATGAAAAACAAATTTGAAAATTTTAGAAAAGTTGGACTTCGAAGCGATCAGGGGACGTTGGAGCGCAGCCTCCCCATTAAATCTTCACATTCCGGCCAAAGTATCAAAAGCGCCATGCGTCGTTTCAAAATTTCCGCCGCCATTTTATTTTTTTACTGAGAAATTTTTCAACGAAGCTGTCCAAAAATTTCACTGAATTATTTTTTTGCTGCCGATAAATTCAGTGAACTTTTCAAACAGATTCATCCAACAATTTCTCCGTAAAAAATAAAACGGCGGCGGAAATTTTTAAACGTCACATGGCTCTTGAGTTAATTTGGCCGAAAGGTGACAAAAAATATCAGCAAAATAAAAAAAAAAAACACAAAATTTGACAACGCATCTATTCCGAATCGCATTTGTGACGCGGTGTGTGGTTTTGGTATTCGAATTTCATGCCCGTTTTCCCGAGCTCCCGGCAACCCCAACTGAAGTTCATCGGTAAATATGGACAGGTCAGAAAGCTCACAGTTATCAAAAGAAAGCACAACCCTTTCAGGCAGAGCCGAGATATCCAAAGTTCAGCCGTGTAAAGTTTCACCCCCCTCGGACACCCATCTTTGTTTGCACAAGAGGCAGCGGGGTCCGGAAACGATGCCAACTTTACACTAGAATCCGCGAGTCTTCGACTTGAAACCTCGATGTATATGAGAAAGAGGATTCAAAAACATGTGCAAAACTTGTTATAGAATATGTTAAAGACTATATAAAACATGTTCGCGATCAGAATTCTAGCCTCAGCTTTCGTTTTAAGCTTCAACAACGTAAGTGGCACAGGTCTGCCCCGGCATTTGCGATTGGATACAACTAATCGTGCTTCATGGATGCCCCAATTGCAGATGCAAAAAAATGCAGGCGCACTAGCTGCTTTTGCGTTTATGATGATGCGCTTTGTTACGAAAGGTTTCATTGAACGGACTATGTTGGTGGATGATTGGTTGAAATATTCTGGCAAGTCTTGAGTGTCTTTGCAGTTTGAAAAACGTCAATTAACATGGTAATATTTCAAATCGCTAAGTTTTAAAGAGACAGTGCACTTTGGGGATCAGACACCGATGTTCGATTATTTTTTTCAAAGGCTTTTGACTGTTTTCTTTCAAAATTTCACACGGAATATAATACCATAAGATAGACGCAGAAATAAAGTATGAGAATGATAGAAATGAAATTAAACCTAGTCTCGCCGTTGCAAATATATTCTGCGATTAGAAATGCTTCATCAAAAATTGGAATGAATGGTGCAACCACAAAAAAATCATATATGATACCAGAGTGAAGGAAATCAGACGAAGAAAATTAAGTTTTCTTCTTATTTTCTTAAATTTTTTCTTCTTTTTAAATAAAATTAGAGCCGTTTCAAGTACAACGAGAACCAAGTTCCTCGCAGTTTTTTGTTTCTCTTTCTTTTTTCGGCATTTTTCGGACAGCCTCTCGCCTCTTTTAAAGCCTTAATTTAATGGTGTTTCCATTTAAAAGCAAGGATATTGCTCAAAACACGAGAGAGAATCAATACATACATATCTTTTTTTAAAATTAAAAGGGGGCAAAAAAGGCAACCTGTGCATATGGATAGCACATAATCTTAATCTGATGAAGGAATTGAATTGCAGTGAGGGTGAGGGGTAGCAGTGAAGCGACGGGTGTGTTTATGTGCCGACTAAACCAAATATGACACTGTCTATTCTCTCGGAAAAGGGGTTCCGTAAACGGACCGTGCGTTTCCCGAGCCATGTTGCATGATGCTTGTAAAAGTTCGCATTTTCTTCGTTAGGTCGCACAATGATTGCTTCGACTGCCGATAAACGCAATATTCTATTCTTCCGTAAATCGAGGGATCGTAGGGATGTTAGCACGTGCGAATCCACCCCAACCAACATTCCCCGAACTCGTGAACGATGACTTTTTTAAATTTTCTGGAAAAGTACTCTTAAGATAAGGAACACTCGTAATGCAGCTTATCTTTATCCCCCACCCATCTCTCTACGCATTTAGGATATTCAATTTGAACCGAATCAAATGGGTATATAATGCTACGAGCTCCCTGTTTGCTGGTTACTAAAGGATTCAGTTTTAGAATTAAACCTAAAAATTCACAACACCAAGTACTCTTATCGTATAGCAGCAATACCATCTTCACCGGACATAAAAAGTTACACATGTTTTGTTTAATTTGTGCAGGACATTCTTTTTGGTTAAAATGAAAATTGAAACCCCCCCCCCCCCCCCCCCCCCCCCCCNTTTTTTTTTTTTTTTTTTTTTTTGAAGATCGACTCATTTATTTGGAATTTTCTTTTTTCAAATTGAGTTTTTTTACCACAGACAGGCGCGAGTCTGTTATGGACAAAATTTGCTTTTTTCTGAATAAAAAAACACTCATGTGATAAAAAAAAGGTTATTTAAGTCAGAAAAAACTTTCTTTAAACCAGAGGAACTATTATTTCAGCCAAAACAGCTGTTTGGATAAGTTCGAAAATAAACGAAACACGAAATATGAACATGTTTCACACATCAAGTTTAAAAAAAAAATCACTCAAATGACTTGACTCGTGTCCTGACATTTGGACTACAATTTGCATTAATTAGGAATCAACATTTTTGGCTCAGTTTAGAAACAACGTATCTTCTATCAGTTTCCCTACGGGTATAATTGTTTTTATAGAGGAGCCAGAAGCATTGCATTGCAGCTCCTAATTGCAAAATGTCCATTTAGCTAACGTTGATTGTAAGTGCATTTCCTGTATTCGTTGATTCGCGAACTTCCTGTTTCGTGAATCATTCCTTGCCTAGAATTTCGTCCCTCGCCTCATAATCACTAGGAGCATAACAGCATAAGCCACCGTATCAGAGTTCGGCGGACCTGACGCCCAGAAACCCAGACAGACAGACTGACAGTCGTCAAAATCCAATTGCGCGAAGAAAAGGAACCGAGCTGGAGCGACGTAAAAAATAAACAGATCCGTTAGTTCTACTCCGCGTCTGCAACAAGTTCCCAAATATTTATTTTTCCTTTGTAATCCGGATCATTTTTACGTCTAGTCGATGCGTCTTTTGAGGCATCGTCCAGGATTAATGATCTTTCGCCGTTGAGCACGGCTTCCTCACAGCGCCTTTACTCGGCTGACCTGCTGAGTAAGAACCTCGTAAGTCTTGACGATAACTGCCTGCAGATACGCTGTTCTTGTTGGGTGGCAGTACAATCGTCGTAACCTTTATACCTTCCTCATTTCATTATTCTTTTTTCGTCCTCCGGGTTTGTTCCGCCGACCGACGGGGAAGCTTTGTTCTGGATTCCGATTTGGTCGGCTAATGATATCGCGCACTGGGCTGGCGCCATTTAATTAGCTCGAGCGGAGAAGCAACTGATATTGATTTTGGATTAATTTTTTTTTGTAAGGTTATTTTGTTTCATTGTTTCCTTTACGGTAATCGTTACGCTCTAAATACTCGGGCGCCTACATCATATCAGGCTCATTTGCCGAATTTTTGATCACTTCACCTTGATGTGAATCAATGGAACCCTTTAGAAGAACTGTGTTCCTCGACGAAAATCCGTCGTTCAAATAGCAGAATTGTATTTTTATTCTCTTATTTATTTTGAAACTCCTCAAATCAAAGAAACATTTACATTGTTATTCAAAACAACGATCCGACATAACATTGCAAGTTGTAAGCACGAAAGAAGGTTTAAAATTGTAGTCCTTCACTAGTTGCAGGGTTTAAAATTTGTTTTATCCCTGCTTCATTTACATTCAAAATATTTCCACCGACTTTAGATGTTTGAAAGGAGAAAATGCATGAATTGTTATGCTGGAAAAAAATTCAATATCAATCTCGAAGTTATGCGGCTCACTGTCTATTTTAAATAAAGCGACTTTCAAGTGATTGGTAGACACTAACACTTTAAGTATCGAGGAAGCTAGAGAGTACCAAGGCATTGTCAAGCAATACAAAAATATAATTTTTTTACTTGTAAAATTTAGGGGAAAAATCTTGGGGAAGTCATTTCATCGTATCAAGACGTCCAGCTTTGCTCCTAACACTAACGACTGGATTCCACTACTTTAATGTGAGAGAGCCCGTGTTGCATACCATTTCTAATTGAAGGCGCAGTCTACGCCTGAGTCCCGATCCCAATTGCTCGGTAAAGAATTTCCTAAACGATGGAACGCGTATCCAGTCGTAAAACGTTCCGAGTATTTCGTCGCGAAGATGTCCTTGATATTTGGCGACAAATATGAAAGAGGACACGTTTTTCCGGCGGCAACCGAGCGAAAGTGGAAGAAACACCAGGAGCCATCGCTACAGGTACGCTCGGCATACAGTGCGTTTATTGAACGGCATAAAATAAGGTCTCGGAATTCGTTTCAATTTTGTGTTTTAGTGCCATTTTATGGTGTCCGTCAAAGACGATGGCCGCTCAGTGTCCACTGGCGACTTGCAATAACATTTCCTCCGGAGTTTTCCTCTTTTTCGGTCCGGCGCGCCGTAAAACCTCGCCTCGCCTCCGAAACAACCCAACTGCCAGCCCGCCTCGTAGCGAGTCACGCTGTTTTATCGGCCACGCCACTAAATGAGCATGTCACTCGAATATGTAATCTTTGACAATGCCCGTGATCGACAGGCGCGCACGGTAAAAATCACGCAACCCCAATGCGTATCCATTGGATCTTACGCGTTTTTAGCATCGGCGTTGTCATGTTACACAGTAAAGAACCGTAACTCCTTACTGGAGTGAGCCGCGAGGCGTATATGATTACATTCTGAGCGGGGTGCATGTGTATATGGAGTTGATGTTTTTCTCCGTGAGATGGCAGCACAGTCGCACATTCACGACTAAATTGAAAACGCGATGGCGAGTCCTTGTCTCCGAGTATGGCACTTGATGTCCATGGCAGATTATACGGCCACTGC